CGGCTAGCGCAGATAGCCCTCGTGTAGCTTTGCGCGAAATTCCAAAAACCAAACAAACAAACCCATCAAAGTACTTATATCGAACTGTATAAATGTTTATAGAATATATGGAAAGGTTCAGCTGATTTTAACAGCATCGTTTCTCGGCAGTACAGCAATATTAGCACGAGTATCAAAGACTGAGGCGATTGTACACATTTAAGACTTTGTTGATTATATTCAAACTACAAAAATCTGGAACCTCAAAATATTTAATCAGTTAGTAATTAAAGTTTGTAAGAGACGTGGCAACTGAAGTTTCACCATTTATATAACAACAACAGAACATACACACAAACTAGACTAGAAGAATAGGTAGAAAAAAATAATAAACGCATTATGGATTTTCAGAAAATTACGAATTTTCGTTACAAAATAGGTTTATTTTGTCGAATTTTCTCGCTAAGCTACTTAAGATGTATCTGTGCTAGCCGTCCCTAATTTTGAGTGGATAGACTAGATGGAAAACAGCTAGTCACCACCACCCACAGCCACCTCTTAAGCTACTCTTTACCAGCGAATAGTGAGATTTACCGTCACATTATAACCCTCCTCTCGACTGGAAGGGTGAGCAAGTTCGGCGACGGGTTTCGATTTTGCAATCCGTACATTGCGATTCGAGTACCTTAACCATAAAACCATATCAGACCAAAAATATTAATGATACAATCTCCTTTATTCATCAAATGTGGTATAATTTAATGCTTCATAAAACTTTTACAAGTGTTGCTAAGGCATTTTATTTTTATTTTTAGAATGTTGTTTTAGCACGAAGATATACAATGGGCTATCTGCACTCTGTCCACCGCGGGGAATCGAGTCCCTGATTTTAGCGTTGCATAAATATAAATTTACCGCTTTCTCACGAGAGGGACGTTCTCAGAAGGAAAAACTATTTTAAAATCGTGCCTAAATGAATCTGGTATGACAATAATATTCATGAAGAAAACGTAATATAAACATTGAATAAAGAAAGATTGATAATTTAACTTATCATTATACTTTATAAAGAACCTTGATAAATTGGACATAATGAGTTTATTATGCCCCAATTTTTTTTGATAAACTGTTAAATCTTCACTTAATGAATTATTTTACTAAAAGCTGCTTAGTATTTTTTATTGGTCTTCGTATTTACATGTGAATATTATAGTTTTCTAAGTTAGTAAGATAATAATGCCCTTATGAGTTACTTCACAAAACTTAATTATCTCATGTACAGTAGCTGGATATAAAAAAAAATACGCTATACATTAATGATTTTAGAAAATTCCATAATTCTTATAAACTAACGCTCTTAGAAACAATGGTTACCTGTTAATTATTTCATTGGACAAAAAAAGGTTTGGTTGATAGCTCCCCCCCCCCCTCCAAAAAAATAAAAATAAATGTCGCTTGGTATTAAGTTCAAAATCAACCAAAGTTATAAACTCTGTTTAATAAGCATGTTACAATATTTCTGTTGTACCGGAGCGGGATAAAGCTGTCAAATTATGTTAGGAGTCCAGTAAAAATCCTTTTTTTTTTCTTTCTGTGTATTGATGTGCCCAATCCGTTAATGTTACGGTTAATGAGGATGTCTAAAAAGGTAAATTATTATTATTTTCAACCTCACAATTGAACTTAATGGCAGGATGTTGTGTCTTTTATTATTTTTCACAATAAGGATCACTGCTCTAAATTCTTAGAATATCTGAACTCACAACCTCCCGCCATTAAGTTTACTTGCGAGGTTGAAAAAAAAATTTTGTTTTCGCAAACTATAGTTTTTTTGAGTAAACTATTTGAGAAAATGGTGTAAGAGATAAACAGAAAACAATACCAATAACAAATGTAGCAAATCACTTGAATTACTAATTCACGAAAGTACAAAGCTTATTCAAGTGTTTAAACTGAAGCAAAATCAATAATATATTTTGACATTACTTGGAACACAACTCTTCCTCTCTCTCTTCATTTTTATATATTCTGTTCACCTTTGGGCGATTTTGTTTAGCCGTAAAAAACAATGATATTTCTAGTTTGTTTGTAATTAGGCACAAAGTTACACAATGGGCTATCTGTGCTCTGCCCACTACGGGTATCGAAACCAGGATTCTAGCGTTGTAACTCCGCAGACATCCCGCTGTACAACTGGGGGGGGCGAGCGTTTTCGAGAGTGGAACAATTCAAACGTTACAGGATTCGAAATACGAGACAAAGCACTTAATAACAAGAAAATATGTTCTACACGTGCAGACGTTCTTAGTAATCGCAAGCCTGGACAAGTCTTTTATCATAAACAAATAGAAAGAAAAAAATTCATTTACATTGTTATATTGAAACTTTAAAAGTAATTTGGATCTGCATATTATCAAATCAACAGTTGCAAAATTCGCTTACAGTCTGATTCCTGGATTGATTATATAAAGTCGTTTTTGTTGTCGTTGTTTTTCCATAAGGGCTTACCAGTTTGTAAATATTTCTTGAGAAAATTTGTCATTTTTTGATACAATGTCATTGTATTCATAGTAGTACAGGACTGAGCTCGGCCTAGAGATGAGCGTGCTCACTGCGAACCCGAGAGTTCATTGTTTTTGACTAGTCTTGGAAAAAACGAAACACGTTTTGCACTTCGGGTAGGAAAAAAATGTGAAGTTCAAATCTCACTGTTTGGTTACGTGAGAGAATACAATGAACTGGTGGTAGGTGGTGTTGACTAACCCCTTCCCTTTAGTTCCTTTACTGAACATGCTCGTCATATTAGCCGTAGGAACGCTATAATGCGACGGTCAATCCCACTACTCGCTTTTAAAAGAGTAGCCCAAGAGATAGTGGTAGGTGATGTTGACTAGATGCCTTAGTTATTGTGTAACTTTGCATGAAAATGATGAGACACTTTAGGCTGGTTGAAAAATAGAGAACTGACAGAACAAACCCATAATTCTGATATGTTTTTATACCTTGAAATATAAGCGCATTAGAGCATACCAAGTTATAAAGTATTTTTTTAGTTATTGTGTAACTTTGCATGAAAATGATGACTGGTTGAAAAATAGAGGACTGACAGAACAAACCCATAATTCTGATGTGTTTTTATACCTTGAAACATAAGAGCATTAGAGCATACCAAGTTATAAAGTATTTTTCCTTGCAAATGTATTAGGTTAAACATATCGAAAAAGATATATATATATATATATCATAAAATCACAGAATCATGTAATAAACTTATATTTAATATACACAAATGAATCAAAATCAAAATGGAGTTTACGGTACAAAAATGTCGTTAAAATGTATGCAATCATATTAAATTGTACATTGATAGTTTGATAACTTTTCTCAATAAAAATGGCGCGGCTTTAAATAAAAACAGTGATAACAAGTTTTTGTCCCTTAGAGGAATTTCCACATGGAATATTTATCACAGTTTACTGTTTGTTCGTTGAATCTCGCGCAAAGCTACTCGAGGGCTATCTGCGCAAGCAACCTCTGGCTTAACGGTAGCAAAAATAGTAAGGTACTTTATAGGAACCATATCCGGCATTAAGTCATTTTTTTTTTTTGGAAAATCTATAGGAATATGCTCTATTTTATAAGGAATCCAGATTTACGCCGACTTGTAATTGGATGATGTTTTACCATAATTCAGGCAATGGTCGTGGCATTGTTTTAGTACATGATCTATGGAACACTCACCATTCCAGAACGTTTTTGCGAAGCCTGTGAATAACTGATGAAACAACGATCAGAATCTCTGGGTGTTTGTTGTTGTTGAGATGGATTCAAAGCTAACCTGCAAATGGAAAGAAGCAAAATGTCTGAGGTGTTACGAGTGTGACACGTGTGAATGTGACCACGACGGCACACCAGTTGCTGAAAAAGTTAGCTGTAAGGGAGGTCAGAGAAGTTCCGCTGGAGGAGAGGTGCTGTCTAGGCCCAAAGAGAAGTACGTCTTCCATACAGGAGAAGTAAACTTACGAAGGTATCAGACGATTTGACTTCGAATAGGAAATAAGAGCAGAAGGAGGAGAACGATTCAACATGAGGTAAGGACCAGAGAATACGAAGTCTTTGAGTGAAGTTAAAGAATATTACAAGGTTAAGTGGAGAGAGTAGTACTACTATAATTGCGAATCAGTATAACCATAGCATGTAGATGGTCCACTTTGGTAGAATAGAAATAACTTAAAGACTACTCGGATCACAGAAAACAGCACGGCAGAATGATCCTTAGATCATGCCCCCACAGCTACATACCTTACTCTTACGTTTCGGAGTTCCGGATCTGATAAGACACCCCATCGCATACTAAAATAGTCATATTTTCTGCTGTTGTGTCAGAAGTGATAGGCTAGACTAGAGAGGTCACAGCTAGTCAACATTACCTACCACCAACTCTTGAGCTAATGTTTACCAGAGAATAGTGGGATTGAGCGCACTTTATGATGCCGCCACTGCTGAAAGGTCAAGCATGTTCGAGGGTGTGTTTCGACCCTGCGATACGCAGATTGCGAGATGAGCGCCCTAAGCACCAGACAAAGCTTACTTACATGTGATCAATTCGATAATTTTTATAGAAAAATGAAAGAATTGATATGGACAATGATATGCATTACTATAATAAAATTGGCAATCTATAACTGCAAACGGCTCCCAGGTGGGTCAGGGGAAAGCTTCAGGGCTTCTAATGTTAACATACGGGGTTAAAGCTTTACAACGGATACAGACCAGGTAACCTTTGTGCATCTTTGCGCTAAATCAAACAACAATTATATATATTTCTGTGAGAAACGATTATACTTTAAAGATCATTGTTACTATAAACTAGTATAAAACGAAATATGCGATCTCTACATTGGATCAAAATTGTGTTTTATTCAATTATGATATTTAAAAGGAAGAAGGATCAACAGAGAAAAATTAGCATTAGAAAAAAAAAAGTCCATTTGTTCTGATCAAAGAAAGTCCAGTTTTTGAACGTGCTGAGGTAATTGTTTCTTTTCTGGTGTCATATGTTATTCAAGTGAAAAATGGCATTTCATCTTACTTAAGCTGAATGGAAAGAAAAATTTTTTTTTACGGATCCATGTCTTTCATTTAGTGATATTTTGGAGTATATTTACGGATCCATGTCTTTCATTTAGTGATATTTTGGAGTATATATTTTTTTGGTTTGCAAAAATAATGACAATAAACTTGTACACTCACCGCAGATATATCTCAATAAATATAAAAGTACTATTTCAAATTATGTTTTTAAATTAAAATTTTTTATATTTCACTCTGGAGTATAGGGTTATCAGCTGGCGTTTAAACATAAACACAAACCAAGTATAATATCAATTACTTGAATATTAAGAGTCTAATCTTCTTTATACGCTATGAGCAGATAGATACACTAATGATGATCCACACAAATAGGTTTTTCCCCCTTTTGCCAATTAGTTACTTAATACTGAGTTTCTGATCTTGCTTGAAACACAACTTTAATTAAAGTATATTTAATCTTAAAGGCTTTCCCCTATTTTTCTACTGAATTGCTTTAACTGAGATTTTGTAACATTGGGAGCTAACCTACGAGATAATCTACAACCAAGTTTTAAGATGTATTGAAGTATTGAAAAACCAGATGTAAGCCAACTGCTAGCTTATCACTTAATTACCTCAGCTACCAGTGTTTGAGTTTTGAAGATATGCTGCCTTTGAGCACAGAGAAGATATAAAAACAGAAGATATATATAAATCTCGTGGAAACAAGAAGGCCTTCACATCCTGATTTTCACTTTTAGCAACTGATACCAATCTTTAATTTGAAATAAAAGTCATCAAAGGCTGTTATTATATCAAATAATTATATTTAGAAATTTCATTACGTAGGGATCTTAACGTCAATAAGGAATACAATCTTGTACACACTTGTCGAAAAATAAATAAAGATACAACAATTAATTTTATTTTTAGATTATTTTTTGAGGGGTGGAGAGAGTGTCAGAAATTTACTGTTTTATATAAATATCATCGCAGAGACAATGCAGTTTGATTCAAAATTGAATTTCTTCAGGAATACTAGGTGAATTAATAAAATGCTCAGCACAGGCTTTCTTCACATCTACGATATGCGTTGATATAATGTATTCCGTAAATTACTGATGCACGGGACTGCCGGTTCTTCTAATTATTAGTAACGAGACATTCTATTTTATTTCATTGTTAGTTTTGTGCTGTTGCGCTAATGGGTCTCTTTCATTCAGGGTTATTTTGACTTCTGAATAGGCACATTGTTATTTCATAAGGCCCCCCCCCAGTGGCACAGCGGTATGTCTGTGGACTTCCAACGCTAGAATCCGGGTTTCGATACCCGTGGTGGGCAGAGCGCAGATAGCCCATTGTGTAGCTTTGTGCTTAATTACAATTACAAACAAACAAACAATTATTTCAGGAAGATTTGCAGAATCGTTACAATATAAACAAATTGTTTTGGCCTTGGATTTCAAGAATTGATAATTTTTTTCAAATAAGGTCATGAATCGTGTTTAGTTCATATACATAAACGCACAAATAGACGTAGCATACGTCACTGGATCAACTGAAGTGTTAAGTAAGCAACACTAAGAACAAAGTATATAAAAAAAGGCATTCATCATTCAAAGAAACAAGATTAAGATACCAAAAATACAAAGTATCAGAATACCTATTTCAATAAGATTAAAATTATTTGAGTAATATTTTTTTTTTGCTACAGTAAAAACTACGTAACAGCAATAGTCAGTTGAATTACTTTGTTTCCTGTAACTTTTGACGAGTAATTATAATATTTGCTACCACTCTGTATAGCTAGATAACAGGGCATATGTAAAAGCTTTTAGCCACATAATTTGAGAGACATAAATTATGTGAAAAATCTCGGCAGCGCCATTTTAACGCTATCCAGAGAGATTTGATATTAAATATTTTATGCTCGGTTTGTCACTGAATTATTAAAAGTTTTTAAACTTTGACTTATATAAAATGTTGTGTAACCGCTTGTACGTAACGCTAAAAAAGATTTCACTTTTTTAAAAAATCCTGAATAGGAGTTTAAAATAGTTTGTCGCAGTATAGTGGTCTTAAATTACATCTTTTGGAATTTTTATAAAGCATTTAAGGAACTGCGGTAGCGACTGTGAAACAAGGCATAGCTAACTTTATTGAAAAGTTATTAATGGTTTATTGCAGTTTTATCTCTTATCATTTAAAGACTCGCGAAAACAAATTCATAACGGTTCACGATTTAAGACGTTCTATAAGGCTTGAAGAAATATTTTCAGATCCATTTTGTTTTTAAAATCTTCTATTATGTTTAATGTAAATACCCATGAAGAAATTTTCAAATCACAATGTTAATTATTTAATATTTTAAATGTAATAAATAAGTGCTAACTAATTTGAGTGAATTTCGTTGTTGTACGGTATACTCCTTAATCCTTTAGAGAGTGACCATTAATCTTCAAATGATAACATGACCGTGACACATGATTCAGTTCTACACTCAATCTCTAGGGGTAATATGGTTTCGAGAACAAGGTAAATTTTTTCCTGATTTTGCCTCCACATGAAAGCACATTTGAAGTAATACAGATGTATGTCAACCATTAGTTTAGAGGTGAAAAACAGCGCTTGCAAGTGCTACCTCATACTCATCAAGAACTTTCTTTTATTAAGTGCTTAATTAGTACGAAATTTTGTCCAACGAAAACCAATTTATTTGACAAAATCACAATTACACTTTCTTCATTCAAATACATTTATATTTTTAGTTCTTTTTTCACATTCGTGTAATATCGATGTGAATCAAGTGTATCACTAAAATAACCATGTAATCTAGTGCCTTATTTCAAACACTAGACAGGAAGAGATAAATGAAGTAATAAAAAAAATTAAATGTGTGACGGACGAATAAAACCTGCATTTAGGAGCAAAATAAACGCCAGGACTTGTTTGTTTGTTTTGAATTTCGCGCAAAGCTACACCAGGGCTATCTGCGTTAGCCATCCCTAATTTAGCAGTGTAAGACTAGAGGGAAGGCAGCTAGTCATCACCACCAACCGCCAACTCTTCGGCTACTCTTTTACCAACGAATAGTGGGATTGACCGTTACATTATAACGTCCCCACGGCTGAAAGGGCGAGCATGTTTGGTGGGGTGGGGATTCGAACCCTCAGATTGCGAGTAGAGCGCCCTAACCACCTGGCCATGCCAGGCCGCTAGGACTTGTCTAAGAGGATATTCATCAAGTAGAAGTTAGTTAATACAGTAATTCAATGGAGTCTTGCACCGTCATTGAGGAAATACTTATGATACCGTAAATTATTTGTAGTTGGTAAGATACTGTGTTAAATTGTGAGACAGTAAAATATGTCCACTAACACCTGGTTAATGAAGCCATTTCTGTACACTATATACAGAAGTTTGTTTCAAATTCAGTACGATGCGAGCTGTATTTTATCGAAGAGGTTTGATTCTGGGTTTTAATCGGACAAAAAACGTACGTTCTAAAAGGTGTGATGTAAAATCGACTTCAGTCTTTTCTGCAGGCCTTGCAGAATTTACCAATCATCACGTATATCTTTTAAACTCGATAACAGATTGAAAGCCCAACAGAACAGGCCGTTAGTAACACGCATGGGCCGGGCGTGACTCGGTGGTTATCGTGACCGGACCGTGAACCTGAGTTTGCGGGACCGGTTTGCTTAATAACGTTGTAAATTATCAGTTCACAATGAGTGAGAAATATCTAACGACAATGTCTTCATTGCTGAAGTTGCCGCTATGTCAAGAATACAACGAGTTCTAATAATGCCATCACAATGTTAAGATTTTGCATTGTTCTGCCTTATGTAGCCACTTGGTTTATTCTCAGATCTCATTGGCTCATCACAAAACGGACTTACTCGAGAGTTTGTATGTAATGGATTAGAGTAAATTCGTATTATGATCTTCACGATCATACGGTTAATTAGGTTTCACAAGCCAGTCCAATATAAATCTCTTGTAGGTAAGAGATTAATAGATGTTGCTAGACAATTTAATTGATGCAATAATGAAGCAGTAATAATAATTTAGTACGTTCTTATTAAATAAAGTAATTTGTGCCTACCATACGTTGAGGGGTTGGTGACATCGTATACGGAATCAACCATGTGATATCACTACAAACTTGTTCTCACATTCCTGCTCGTTGAAGAGCAGTTACATTTTCACACAATTTTCGCCAAATAAGTTCAAATATTTGAAATGACGGATGTGGCCTGGTGGTTAGAAGGCCCTG